GAGAACAAGAAGAAAAAAAATAAGAGAAAACGCCCCACGTCCTCACACGCGCTCTCTGCCCCTTTTCTTTTTTTCTTAGTCTCTCGCACCAACAACGACCATGGCGAAAAAGAAACTGCCGACGATGAGGCGGAAGCTGAGGCGGGTTGCCGTGCTGCTGTTTCTCTTCATTGTGGCCACGACTGTTCTTTCCTTCAGGTTCGACACCGCCGCCGATGATGGCGCACCGGGGCCAAACAACCTTCGCCACCCGCGCGCGGCCGCAGCGGATGACGCAGCACTTGCTTACATCCCGCGCAGTGTTCTGGACACGTGGAGCCGGCGGGAGTATCTGATTGTGCTGGGCATCCCCTCCCCGGACAACGAAGAAAGGCGAACACGACGCAACCTGCAGCGGACGACGTGCTGGCGGTTCCCCGGTGTGGCGACGAGGGCGAACGACTTCACCGGTGCGATGCTCGTGCTGTACGTACTTGCGCGACACCCGTCGCACGGCTACAACTACTCTGCCGCGCTGCTGGAGGAGGCAGCGCAGTGGCAGGATGTGGTCGCAATGCCGATAAACGAGGGCCGCGTGACGACGACCGCTTCCATGAGCAAAGCGCAGCAGGAGCGGAACGTCGTGTAAAAATAAATTCGAGGACAAAACAATGAAAAAGAAAATCCATCACCATAGGCCCCACGAGACCGCACAGCAGCGATGACGGCGCACAAAGGAAACACGCAGAAAATCTCTCAGAAATGCCGCCACAGAAAAAAAACCGTGGCGATGCCCCGAACAGCGCCCCCAATGCAATCGCCCCCTTCCCAGCACACCGCGGGGCTCGCAAAAGTGAAACGCCACGGGGAGTCTCAGCGAGAAGCGTGTGACCGTTTCACGCACACCACACGCACGGCACGTGGATCTGCAGAAAACGCCCCCGCCTGGTGCCGATATACCTTCCTGTGCCGAAATCCCGCGTCGGCCTCCTCCCTCCCCAACGGCATCCCCCACACGGGCGCCCGAAAACACCACACCGCCGCCAGCCGCTTACCGGCGTGCTGTCCGTGTGTTGCGCACAAACAATCTCACGACACGTCGTGGGCAAAATACTCACAACCGTTAAAATATGCCGCCAAATGCTCGTTGGCCTGCCTCATCGTGCCGGCTGTGGCGCGGGGCGCTTTGGCTCCCGTCGCCCTGGCGGAGAAGTCAGCTCCTTGAGCTTAGGGTGGATTCACTCCACAGCGCCCCCATTCGTGGGTGCGACCGCGCCAAACGCATCCAGCGACCTCCACAAAACGCATTCCTCGCCATGCATTAAGAGATTCAGGAAATCGG